TGGTATCGAAGGAACTAGATTCTGTTCCGAAATATCACTTACTCGAACCGTCCTGACCGCGTAGCTCAGTTGGAAGAGCATTGGGCCAGTATTCCAAAGGTCGTAGGTTCGAATCCCACCGTGGCCGGGCATATTTTTCAAGCTCGCCCGGTGTGGATATGCACTCAGAGTAACATCGCAAACATATTATTCACCTGAGTACACAACACCAACACAGAAAAATTCATATTATAATTAGTAAGAACACATTGGTATTGAAGGAACTAGATACTGTTCCGAAATATCACTTACTCGAACCGTCCTGACCGCGTAGCTCAGTTGGAAGAGCATTGGGCTAGTATTCCAAAGGTCGTAGGTTCGAATCCCACCGTGGCCGGGCATATTTTTCAAGCTCGCCCGGTGTGGATATGCACTCAGAGTAACATCACAAACATATCCGAAGCTAATAAAGGCTGACGATGATTTGCTTTGTTTTGATGATTCAATTTGCAATTGTATTTCGCCAATTTCGGTTTTGCGGGCCAGCTAAAAATATAAATATTTTGTAATACCGAAATAAAAGATGCAAATCTGAAGACACAAGCTTGAAAATATGACTCTAAATAGTGTTTTGGATTCCGGTTCGAATAAGACTATTGCGAAAAAGATATGTCCAAAGGGGCCGAAGTTATGGTCGGCTAAAGGTATGGCTACTTTACATTGTTCGAGACTAATTGAGTAATATAATGAATTATGACACCGCTTGACCTCTCAAAGGTCATAAATAGCTATTTGACTACAATTTGACTAAAACTATATTTGACTAAAACTATCATTAGAAATAAGGAGATTTTGTTTCACTGAATCGAATGGTAGTAATTTTGTCTTTATAGCATGCACCGAACCGGAGATATGAACTTTGCAAAGTCATAGAACGACACGTTAGTAGGAAGCTTATTAAAGATGCGCCAAATCTGAGACATGGCGCGACTAAAAAACAATCGCTAACTGATAAATGGGAGACTAGTTTTACTTTGTGTTTCTCGTATCCCTGACTTTGTTTACCAACAACAGTTTTTATCCGTGAAGTGAAACTGTGATAATAGCGGCAGTTTTTCGACACGTCCGCATCGCAGATTTGGTAATATTAATGATACCACTAGAGACCTGACGAGATGCAGCTACATATTCAGCATCTTCCAATACATCATATTAACCAGGTATAAAATTCGCTCCAGAATCATCGGACTGATTCTGTTGATTCTGTTGACATGATACTTTATAGAACTTAGAATATAAAAAGTTAAACACTTCAGCGAACAAAACATTCGAGCTGATTAAAACAGATAACTTAACAGACCATCAAGACTCGACTCCCTTGCGTGACGTCAGAATAAATGCTAGTGCCAGACTTCTGTCGACGACGGCCATTAGCCAAAAATATTTGGAAAATAAATCGAAAAATTCAGGGGCACTTTAAAGGTTATTTTCGTGCATTTTTCATGTTAATATTTGTTCAAATATATCAGTGTGTTTTCCTAAATATGTTATAACTATTGTTGTCTTTCCTGGGTTGGTCTTATAATTTGAGGCCCTGTTTACACTATACCGGATTCGCTGGTCACGACATCTTCTTTTGCCGTTACGGAGCAATGGTTAGTAGCAAATGCTTATTAGTTTGACAGAATTGGCATGTTTATTTGGGTCTCTGAGATAAAAATCTTCACAGCCTTTCGATACCTACAAAATTTGACCCACTCCGATAGCAATCCGGTATAGTGTAAACGGGGCCTGAGATTCTTGTCCTGTTGACAATAGACCTTCGGCCTTATTCCTTTTCTTCATATATAATGTTTTATAATATAGTCATTCACCGGCCGTATATGAACTGTTCTGCAATCTGATTGGTTGAATTACTCGCCGTATGTCAGCTCATATACGGCGAGTAGCGAAAAACAAGATGGCGGTCCAAAAACTACATGAGTTTTGCGAAGCAGAAAAAAGGAAAATATTCGCTTTGAGAAAGATAATAGTACAAGGAAAAACTCTCAAAAAAATTTGACAGGTTAGCAAAATACATTTATTACATAGAAATTAGTTTAAATACAAGTTTTTTAAAGAATTAATACCGAAACAACAGCGAAAAAAACATGTTCATTGAGAATATAAATTGTTCAGAAAAGTTTGCAACGAAAGACAAATGAATTTGCAGTCAACAAGCACTTACTATACTACCAAACATCTGTATAATATATCTGAGCTTTTCTGTGAGATATACCGGTTCTAAAACTATTTCTTTCACTTCGTCTTCGAGTTGTAAAACAAAAGTATTTCAATTTTTCAAGGCCAAGCGGTTTTTGCCGAACAAATTGTCAAGACATTGTAACAGAGGATAATTAATTATTGCTTCAGTTAATGGCTATTAGACTTTATTATATACACAAGGTCTGGATATGAGGTATTCTGCAATCTGATTGGTTCTCTACTAGCAGGATATTAGCTCATATCCTACTAGTAGAGAAAAACAAAATGGCGGCTCAAACTGAATTTCCGATTTTTGCTAACGAGAAAACGGCAAGTTGTTCGCTTTTTGTAACCTCTACAGGATTAAAAACACAATGAAAAAATTCCCAAAAATTGTTTACAGGTTAGCAAATGAATTTTTAAAATTTAAAATGGTTAAAAATATATATTTTTGAAGAAATAATCGGCCGAAAGAGCGAAGATAAAAACATAAACAAAATAGAAAAATATTGAAAATATCCGAAAAGCAAAGTCTGTGAATTCAGATCTTGTGTATATAATAAAACAGTTATTCCACTCACTCTCGTCGAATATCTATCAGCTCATATTCGACTCGAGTTCGTAGAATAACTGTTAAATATTATAAAACAATTATACCATTCGCTCTCGTCGTATATCGGCTGATAGCCGACTCGGTGCTACGCACCTCGTCGGCTATCAGCTCATATACGACTCGAGTTCATGGTATAATTGTTAAATATTCTTAAATTTAATTTCTAGTATTTGTTCATGAATAAAAGGTTGTAAAGTTAATAAATAAATAATACTATAACACTTTCATAACATAGCATCAGTATAAATATAATGTCATATGACATAAAAGATGTACTCAAATGTACTCAAAAGCGTCCTATAGAAATTATTAGTGAAAAATGGCAGCCCATTTCAAAATTTTTTAAGCATATAAATTGGCACGTAGTTAAGGATAAAAATTCGCAGAATGACCTCCAATGACATGAATAAACATACAAATTATACTGATTGACATAAACTGCTGCAAACAGTTTCACTATATCGCTAACCATTATAGTACACAATAAAGCAGAACTCAACAGCAAAGCTACTACAGACTGTACGTATAGTATAGTTATATTATTTTCACAAATTAATGACTTTAAGCTTTTTCAGCACCTTCCACTACAAAATAAAAACATATATAGGACACAATCATAATATGAATAATAAGAATTGGTATTTTTGCACAAGTGAATAATAATAACAAATCCTACAAGTTGATTGGTCAAATTTGACGTATTAATTAAGCCGTTATATTCACCTACAGGTGAATATAACAAACCAAAATTTTCAAATGGCGGCTATAGCCGTTTTGTGGAAGTTACTGATAAAGAAATAAGCGTAATTAAAATAAATTCAGTCCCAAAAAACACAAAAGACGTGTATAAAAATACTAAAACAATTATTCGCCTCAGCCTCGGTGATTATCGGGGATTCACCTCGACTTCGTCTCGGTGAATATTCCCCGGTTATCACCTCGCCTTCGGCGAATAATTGTTAATTAATAATAATAATAATAATAAGAATAAGAATTACTATATCTAATACTTTCGATTTTAAGCCCGGATCAAGGAAAATAGGACGTATAAGTTGTGATTCAATACCCGTTTATTTTTAACTGCATGTTTTAATTTTTATTGAAAGTAGATTAGGCAGCGTGTAAATTCCTCATGTATACTGTCATCCTGAGTTAGAGAAACATTAAGAAAACCAAGTCTCATGCGCTGTTTAGATCATGCAGCCATCAGGAAATTAGAATACCTGAGAAGTCGACAGTTCCGATTGATATACATACCTAATCTGCAACCAATTGCACAGGAATATCAATACAGTCTTGATGTGCTTTGAAAAACGCTTATTATCAGTTCACCTTCACTTAGGCCCTTGCCTAATTGTTGCACAATTTAGTAGAAATTAAAGTGCCTTAATTTTAGTCAATTCTATCAAAATTCTATATCAAAATATAACTGTTACTTATTGTACATACTAATTACTTACTGCATTGGCACCATTGCCATTGGTTTAGATTTGGCGTGTTCTCAAGTCGTACATTTAAGATTAACTCCTCAATGTTACTTGTTCCATAATTTACCATCTCTCTGGAGTGATTAATTGGTTCAGGCTGACGTATTCTGTCCATATATTGCCTTAAGCCACCTTGTAAAAGGTGCTCGATTCGTTCCATTCTTTGGTTTATTCCCGTTGTTTCTTTCGCCATATTTAGTTGCGTAGAAAGCTGCTTTGCTTTCCTTAGGATCGTCGTTGCTATAGAGAAAATATATTATTATTGAGCGTCTGCGAGGTCCGCATGAGGAAAATTAACCGAGGGAACAGTTTTTTCTCATCCGGACCGACGCTGCCGTTAATTAAATGTGTTTTCAGCAGATGTAAAAATCCCAGTATTTAAAATCAGCGTGGTTGCGGAATTAAAACGAGGCAACATGCAGATGGGAAAATTGTCCTCGCTGACTACGTTTATCGCGGGCGCTTTCACCTAGCCAGCCAAATTTTTGAAAACAGCAAAACCCCAGATTTCGCTGACTTGTCTCTCGTACTGCAGTAGAGTAAAAATAAAAGCAAGGTACCAGATTTAAACGTTAACGACAGAGCACTCATTCAAGGCTTTGTTGGATGGATGGATCAACTTTATTTTGCATTAACTTTAGTTGGCATCTCACTCGATTCAATAATAGTTGAAGGGTAGATGGAAATTATCGAATGGAAATTTATATACATTTTATTAGACCAAAAACCATGCAGGAACAGCTGCGATAGGTCCCTGGCAGGAATCGAACCTGTATAGCTCTGCGTTTCCGATGCAGCGGTGTAACCAACTGAGCTACAGAGGCCAGTTGTCGAGCTCTAACCACAAGTTCATGCATTCAATATATTGAAGAAATGGCAACCTCGTTCCCAGGGCTTTTCCCTTTTTGTCATTGGGAAGGCGGGAAAAGGCCCTGGCACCGGCCGGTCTTCTATGTATTCTGATTGGTCAATGACAAGTACATTATTATGCAAATAATGCAATCTTGGATTAATTTATTCAAACTTTGGGATAAATTAATATTTCATGCAAGGAGTGATCACTTTGTCCGTCTTAAGCCTGCAGCACACGAGAGCTATCTGCTGAGCCAAAAGTTACTCGTGCCTGTTAGCTCAGCTGATAGCTCACCGATCAAACATGTTTGATACGTGAGAAAAGGTTGTATGAGGCAAAAAACTCAGTAAAATGTACGCGCACACGGTGAGCTATCGGCTGAGCTAACAGGCACGAGTAACTTTTTGCTCAGCACATAGCTCTCGTGTGCGGCTGGCTTAAGAAATATTTTTGGCAAAATTTGTGGCAAAATGGTTAAATTCGTTAAGATTTATACACAATTTGTCGAAGGTTAGTATTATTGTTTGTTTTAAACTGTGAGAGAAGATTAATTGTGTACTAGAACACACCTCTGAGGCTCTGACCGAGTATTTAGGGCAAAATGTGCCTTCATATTTGGCTTCGTATAGCGTTTATAATGTTTATATTTATAAAACCAAAGTCTGGGTTTATAAACTGAAACACGACCTTTAGTTTTTGATATTCTTCATAGTCGAGTTTAAATTGGCCTAATTTTATAGTTAGTTGCAGGGGCGTAGCCAAGGGGGGGCAAGGGGGGGCGGTCGCCCCCCCAATCGCAAAAAAACTATTCTCTGAAAAAGGCTAAATCCGTAGAGAAATGGGGGGGGGGTACACGTTACATCCTCGAAGCTGAAACGGATTAAGTACGTCTCGACTGAGGAAAAAGACGAAATACTGGAAGAACTTGATTTCTAAAATCTCGTTAAAACAGTTGTAAATATGGTTCCAAGAGGAAAATTCAATCAACAGTCGGGCAATTTTGGTATGCAATAAAAAAAAATGGACAAATTCTGTTCATTTTGTCTAAAATTAAGTGAATTTTTAGGCAAATTTTGTGAATTTTCGAAAATTTGTGTTATGTTCCGAAAATTAATTTGTGTTATGTATCCCGAAAAGTCGGGCAATTTTCGTTCCGCCCCCCTAATTTTTCCTTCCGGTACGCCCATGGGTCTCGCGCCTTCGGCGTTCGCTTCGCCCCCCCAAAAATGAAGGTCTGGCTACGCCACTGGTTAGTTGCCACTGGAAATGCGACGATATTTTGTTATATCATATAGTGTGTTTTCACGCGAGCCGCTGTGACGTCACTAGAATTTAGCGTCCGCCATGTTGGTGGAGTAAAACGCGTCACGTGCGAGGAATTTACTAGTGTTTACTTATAGCTGTGCCAAATCTGTTCGAAATATTCCTCAATATGCCGGCTTTTTGTGTAGTTTTAAACTGTTCAAATGACAAATCTAAACGTACAGATCTTTCTCGGCTACCGGGTGCCGAAAGTTATTAAAAATCAAGGCGAGGAAATGGAGATTTTGTGAACCGAACGCAGGCGAAGATGGCTGTCGGCCATTTAAATTGGAGTCGCCGAACGAATGAAACGCATATGCATGAGAATACAGAAGAAATGGTCAAAGAGAAGTTACAGAGAGTAAACGAACCTGGCGTGGTTGTTACACCTATGACTATGGACGATATCGAAGACATCGCAGAAAATTTGCCAGAAAACTTGAGAAACGCCAGCCATATATAAAACACAAAACAGACGTTTCAACCACAACAGTTGGCATTCAGACAAGCGAGTGTCATAATTCTATGCTTCAATCCGAGTTATAATTTCTGGGTGAACCGTGTTCTGCTGACTTGTATTAATAGACAAACTAATCTCCTTGCAAGGGCACAGACATTTTCAAGTTACAATTAAGCATCACAACACTGTACATAGTCACTGTTAAAGTGTTAATTGGAATTACACCACAAGGTACAATTTGCTTTGTCAGTGAAGCTTGGGGAGGGAGGACTTTAGATAAGTTTCTGACTGAGAACTGTGATTGAACTGATTTGGTTCTGGCGGATAGGGGTTTCACTGTCCATGGAAGTGTTCAGTTTCGCCAAGCCAAATTGAACATTCTGGCGTTCACAAAAGGAAAAGACCAACTTTATTCTGCTGATGTGGAACAGACAAGAAAGATCTCTACTGTCCGGATACATGTCGAAAGAATTATTGGTTTACTGAGACAGAAATATATCATTCTTCAACAAACTTTGTCAACTGATTGCAGAAAAGGAGAATCTGTACCTCTCATTTGACAGAATGATTCGAGTTTGCTCTGCACTAGTAAACCTTTGCCCTTCTACTGTACCTTTTGATTGAAGTAAAGTATTTTACAACATTATGTTTTCATCAAGAAACAGAAACACATTCTTTCAACATTTGAAAATTTGGTGGTCAAGTCTGAGAACCTCCCCATGGTGACCACTGGGCAACAGCATGTTGTGTAAATCAGGGGTGGATTAGTAGGCTACTTTAATTGTACTTTGTCAAAAAGAGACCCCTTTGCAGCCGAAAAGTAAAAAATCTACCCCTGTTTGTTTCACAACATTCTGGCTAATCTCAGCAATAATGTTTCATGCAATTGTAATGGGGGCTTGTGATATGGGGAATAAACCTCCATTTTATCATTATGAGCCCCTCATTTGTGGGAGTCAAAGCCCAGGTTCATGATTTGGAGGTTCCATGAGAATGGATACATTACTATTTCAACTAGGCCTGTTTGAATACCATGAGCATTGAAACAATGTAAAAACCATGTCTGTTGGGACTGTATTGGTGGGAGTTAAGTAATTGATCCAAAGACTTTGGGTAGGCCAGGGCAATAAACTACTTTAGGGTCCCATGGACAAAATCAAAAGCCATATTTTGTGTAAAGTGCTGAGATTAGCCAAAAGGTTGTGCAAAAGTCGCACAGGGGTAGATCACTTTAACAGACTAACATATGACATTGTACAAATAATATGCAAAATAAAATGTTGTCCAGTTAAACAGGGTCCTGGTGTGCTAATCCGCCCCCTGTTTACACAACATGCTGTTGCCCAGTGGTCACCATGTGGAGGTTCTCAGTCTTGACCACCAAAAATGTTTAATGTTTATCAAAGTCTTAAGTCTGTAATAATTTTCAAATGCAAAAAGTTTGTATCTTTGATAGAGTTTTATGTATAATAATTTTAACAGTTTAATAGTTCAATAAAAATACAAACTGAATATTGGTGTAAGCTTTTTTATATTGTGCTCTCAGCCGTCGGAAAAAGAGTAATGAGACCAGCTTTCAGGCAAGCATACAAGTAAGTTCACATCTGTATTGATACATTATAAAATCGTGGGATATTTGGATCCACCGATCCAATGTGTAAACATGCAAGACTTGTCGCAAAAGCGATTGCAAATACACCACAATCTGAATCATTTGACTGTTGCGGTCTTCGACAGATTTTGCATATTCAGACAAAGGAATCTCATGAATAATTACTTTTTCTGCCTCGCTGTTTACGTTTTGTTCCGAATCGCTGGCCGCCATGTTGGAACTTCACTCCACCAACCAGTGCTCTCCATTGAACTATAAATAAACTGGAAGGCTAACTCAGGGGGGGAAATTGAAGCCAGTGCATTTTAGTTTTCTGAGTTATGAGCAGAAATACTCAACACTGAACGTTGGGCTATATATCAAATTGAAGCTATTGAAAAATGCTATTTGGTGTAGAAATTTCAAGACTTTAGCTAAAAGGGAAATATTAAAAAACTACAAACATAATTACCGATAATTTGCCGTTTTCCAGTTGTTTTTGTATTTCTTAAATATTTTTCTTTTCGCTGAAGTCTTGAAATTTCCACACCGAATAGCAATTTTCAATAGCTTCAATTTGATATATAGCCCGACGTTTGGGGTCAAGTATTTCTGCTCATAACTCAGAAAAACTATTTTGGCTTCATCAAATCATAGGCCTTCATCATAGCAGTTAGCCTTCCAGTTTATTTATAGTTCAATGGGTACAGCACGGACATGCCAAGGTGATGGGAATCACGTGTAAACAAATCTGAGACACGCGGGTCTCTGGAACAATGAGACATTAAGGGGCTGATCAACCTCGTAACTCACGACTGGCCCTGGGTACGAGGTTGGGGGCTGATTACATGGAGAGTTTTCAGCCCGGGCTGAGTTTCAGCCCGGTTTCCCGGGCTGCAATTTCAGCCCGGGCTAAGGATAAAATCCTAGTAAAACACAGCAAGCGATTACATGACCAAAATTCCAGCCCGGGCTGAAATTTCAGCCCGGTTTGAGCTACCCGGGTTGAAATTTTAGCCCGGGCTGAAACTCAGCTCGGCATGCATGTAATCGCAAATAATTTCAGCCCGGCCTAAAAAACAACCGTTTAGATGGCTTTATTTTGCGTGTTTGTTTAATTTTTAAATACTTTACATATCACCACAGTCTCACACAAGTCAAATACTGGACTAATCAGTGTCTGATTGCTTCAAAGAAGCGTAACACGCTTATTGACCTATTTCGTGACACTCAGATTATTTCAGCCCGGGCTGACATTTCAGCACGGGTTGATGATAAATATAGCTCTGACTAAACTCAGCCCGGGTTGAAACTGCTCATGTAATCGTGATGAAATTTCAGCTCGTTTAACCGGGCTGAAACTCAGCCCGGGATGAAAACTCTCCATGTAATCAGGCCCTAAGTCATCGAGCACGACTAACGAATTATCATGTCCGCGGGTCATCTCGCATAAATTATCGGGAAATCCTTCCACGAGAGTCAGATTAGGCAGTGTTTGCAACATTTCTTCGAATTCCTTCTGATATATGCCGTAACAGTATATTATTTTAGTCGGCACGGGATTAAATAGTTCCTCTGCATGCCAACATAGAACTAACCAAATAAGACTTCCCGCTTTGAGACTGCCCACAAATATAAAAGTTTGCTGGCGTTTTAAATGTCACGTCCATCGTGTTCACGTGCACAACACGTACTGTGTTATTATCTGACGTGCTCGCCCGCTTTATAACCAAATCCGAGAAATCATTCTACGGAAAAACTCTCTTCTTCAATTCGATATGCACTAAGGTCAAAGCTTCTCAGAGGGGGCGCAGCCAGACGAACAGCGCTACGTGTAGTATCCTCGGAATTGTGCATCAAATAAACTAGTGTCAGATAGGCCATAGCACGGCCAAAATTAGTCACATTGATCGTGTTAAAAACAACATGCATTTCATTTAGATTAACATTCACCACCATTAGATCGTACGTTGCTTCGTGGTCCTCAAGCAAATAATTAATATAATGAGATAATGTTCTCATGTCAATATCAACGCCCCGTGTTTGCAATTCGTCCAGTATCACTTCCATTGCAACAAAACAACAAATGAATACAACTAGTGAAACCATTTATTTATATACAACAAATTCATCTATATACAGCATATTAAATCCTATCTAAAAGTTCTACGTTAAGCTACAATTAGCTCGACGCACTAATACTATGTGAAACCATTTATTTATATACATCAAATTCATCTATATACAGCGTATTAAATCCTATCTAAAAGTCCTACGTTAAGCTATAATTAGTTCTACGCACTAATACTATGTTTCCTAGCTACATTTCATTACATAACATTAAAAAGTCACATGTGAATAAACATTTTCGCGGGAAAATACAGAACAAGGTTTTATATTGTTAAAATGTTGTCCAAAATGTTCGTCCTTGTGCTGTTTGTGCTCGTAAAGTCATCGTCCGCATATCATTGCGCTGAGTTCAGAAGTTACCATTATTTAGACTGCTCGAGACTGGGTATTACGACCTTTCTCCGCTACGGAAAACAAATCTGGGTTGAGGTCCTCGACTTAAAATGGAACAATATATCCATCGTAAATCTTTCAACCATTATGGGCGACTTCCCTAATATTCGTCGTATAGATCTACGCCATAACCCCATCGACTGTACCCGACTGTTGTAAAAATAAAAACGTGAAAGAGTACACATTGCTAGTGACTGTCCCCGTACCACAGACAAGTCCACAGCATCGGCCATTACATCGCCAGCACATTGTAAATCCATCTTCGTGCTAAGCTCGACAGCACCCAATACCTCCCTGGTGAAAATCATCACACCATCCACCGCAAGCGTCCCGACCCCTTCCCCGAGTGGAACCGGTAAAAATCATATTCTCCCACTGCTCTCAATTCTGCTACCAACCGGCGCTACAGCACTTGCCTTAGCCTGTTTTTACGCCATCAGGAGGAGGAGGAGAAGGCGCCGTTCAGTTTCCAGAGAACTCTTCGTACTAAACAATGCTCGTCGCCACTTCTCAATCGATTCCCTCTCTTCCGATTCCCTCGACGAAGAAATATACTATGAACAAGACAGCTCACTTTAACGTTTTTCTATCAACAACAATATCTTGCTGCTATGTTCTGTTATCAAAAACAATCTAATTTAGGGTGTGTCCCGCAGGGGCCCGCAAAACCTTCCTGTTGTGTTAATTTATAATGACATCCCCGAAATGACGAATGTATAAAAATAGCTTGCGTACAAAATGTCTTATTGTAAGGCTGATTTCCACTGTTGCGTTTTTGTTCGCACGTACACGCACGTAAAACTTTGAATCCTTACATTTTTTAAAATATTTTACAAAAGGGTTAACAAATGCATACTAAAACTTGCGGAACACTAAATTCTGTTGCTTTATTTATTTGGTTATTTCATAAGTAACATTTAAACGGATTTACGTGCGTATACGTGCGTACGAAAAACGCAACAGTGGAAATCAGCCTTAAAGGAGACGTGAAACTTACAGCGCGGAAACGGTATCTATGTTTAAATGACCTCTGCTCTAAGTGATTATGTTTCGATAAACACTCGTGTGTTTGACAGGAAAACCCATTAGCTTATAATATATTATCCGACATAATGTTTATACAAGAGTAAACATACGTCCCTGAAACAGTTCGTAATACTAATGTGAAATACTATTAATTCTATACTGTTCATTCCAGCGTGCCTATGTATTCAAATAAGACTCATTTGAAACACGCTAAAATGTACAGCCCTGTTAAAACCGTATACGCAGCACATGCTAAGAGCTTCAGTGTATATCAGTACTCACAAATTGTACATATAGTTCCTTTATTTATATTTATATACATATAAGACCTGTGATCATAAAAGCAATGTTTATATTTACAGTGCAGTGTGAGACATTGTTATTGTGCTTTCGCCACTCTCCGGCCGCTCCAGTGACATTAGCTCGGTCCCAGAGTGCCCTTGCGTAGCATTCTCTGCCGCCGTCCAGCCACACAGAGCTTATAGCTGTAAAACAGACCCAAAAGCAGCACTATTCCTACGGTCAGCCCGACAATAATAAGGTACAAATTAGGGGTCGAAGCCGAGATTCGGGTCGGAACCGTTGCGGGGGTCAGGACTACGGTTGAGGTTCGGGTGAGGGCCGGGGTTAGGATCCGGGATTGAACTGGGATTCGGGGAGTGGCCGGGATCAAGGCGGGTGTTGAAACTATGGTCAGGGGTCGGATCAAGGTCTGGAACGTGGCCGGGGTTAGGCTTCCGGTGGGGGTTGGGGTTAGGATCAGGGACCGAATCAAGTTTCGGGGAGTGGTCGGGATCAAGGCGGGTGTTGAAACTACGGTCAGGGGTCGGATCAAGGTTTGGAACGCGGCAGGGGTTAGGGTTCCGGTGGGGGTCGGGGTTAGGACCACGGATCGAATCAAGGTCCGGGAAGTGGTCGGGATTAAGGTGGGGGTTGAAACCACGGTCAGGGGTAGGATCAAGGTCCGGGACGCGGCTGAGGTTAGGGTTCCGGTGGGGGTTGGGGGTAGGATCCGAGATTGAATCAAGGTCGAGAGCCGGATGAAGGTCCAGGATGCCACCGAGACTGAGGCTCCGACGGGTGTTGAAACTAAAAGCCGCGTTAAGGACCCCGTGGGGGTTGTGATTCGGATTAAAACCCGAGGTTCGGTGGGGTCCATGGTCTGGGGTGGGGGTGCGGAACTATCTGTAGACCCAAACGTAACACCCGATACCGTATCCGGCATACCTAATTGAAGAGAAAGTCAAACTATATAACTATAAGTTGCAACAAATGCCAACTTGCGCAAATGCTAGCATAAATGAAATAAACTTACAATCACTCCTGACGTCTATCCCCAAATCCCAAACGGTTCGACAGTCGAGTGTGGGGTTGTCCCGCACGTCAATATGTTCCAAGTTCGGGAAATATAACAAAAGCTCTTTTATATTTAAACTAATAAGACGGTTTTGCCTAAAGTCAATCCCCATAACCCATTCTCCTCCTGTTCCCCGCGGCCCCTCGATGGTTTCCAGCGCTAAGCCCCTACAGTCCAAAAAACCAGCAAGACGCCGTTCCAGACAAAATGGGGTGCTTCCATGCACAAAAAGTAAAATGCAAAACACGACAGAAAACATCTCGTAGATCTGTTTAAATTCTGACTGAACTATCTCGTTTCATGCATGTGAATAAATATTAGTTTACATAAACAACTCGAAAGTTATGCATAAGCATGAGAACCACCGAATGTGTCTGAAAAACAATGTGCATCTCATTACACAGTGCTCAAACAGGTATTTGACATAATGGGATATTGTTGTTATGTTAACATCATTTTCCCGAAAGGTTATTGCATGAGTAAATGAACACACAGTGTAAAACGTTTCAAATATATATTCATAAATATGATAATACAAAACTCTTTAATTATACGTTAAATGTTTATATAAATGTTTCAGTTCTGCTGAGCATCCGGATAATAACGACTGTAAAACAATTGTACGAAAGGTGCCATGGTGTCAGGTTGTTTTGGCAATTCCTCAGGAACCCATTCAAAATAATCACACCGGTTTTCGTTGCAGCAACAGAAGAACTTTTTACCCGTATTGGGACCTTGTTTCTTGACTCGCTTCACGGCACATGGTTCGTTGTGATAGCAATTCGGTTTCTCGATTTCTTTCTCGTCTGCCCACATCCATAAGGAGCAAGGATTCTCCCGACTTGCACACGTAAAATACGGTCGCCCATAAGATTTTTTCAGCATGTTTTTAACTACACGAAACTTCGCGGGCTTTCGGTGACTCTCATATATCGGTTGCGTCAAACCTGTGGCTCTCCAAGCTGTCAGAGCTGTCTGGAATAGATAACCGTCCTCTTCTGTACATAGAAATCCACAGCTGGGCTTCTGTCCACAAAACCAAAAGGAACCCTTGTCTGTAGTTGAATTGGAAGCAGCTTTTCCGTGCAAACACTCCATCGCTATAACTTTAAAATAAAACATTTTACTTCTTGCCTTTTATACAAAAACTCAACCCGCCAAATCATACGTGTTATGCTACAAATGTTATGGAACGCTATGCGACATGTGGCACGTGAAAAAAAAAGTTATGCGACAAATTTCACGTGATAGGTGCTATGCGACAACGCTATTAAAATTATATAAAGCGGGTCGAAAAGTGCTCAACATTTCAAAATGTCTCAACAACTTACAAATATTGCTGCGGTTATAGATATGGATGGTTTTTTTGTCAACAAAAGTTTTTTCTGTAAAGAATTGGGTTTTCTGAGTGTTGGAGACGCTACAGCTCAATCCTTTTTCGACACCGGTCTACAGTGGAACGACCTGACGCCCAAAGACCAAAGAGTATGCAAATACGTACAAACTCGCATCCATAAATTACCTTTTGGTGTGCCCGCTGGAGTCGATGCCCTTCCTCTTTCCAATCTTCCTAAGATAATCTCTCAGCTGTATGAAAATGTACCTCAGAACTCGAGGTCAACCATTGCGTACAAAGGTGGAATATATGAAAGAGACCTGTTATCTCGCCTTAACATTCCTGCGCTTGATTTACAAGATTATGGTTGTCCCAAGGCTGAAAAGCTCTTCGACCAGCTGGTCTGGCTCGAAACGTGCGGGAAACATACCGAAAACGGCGCCTACCAACACTGTGCCAAAGTGGAGGTCGAAGCATTTGCGATGTGGCTGAAGAAGACGCTGGACGCTTAAAGAAAAAAACAAAAAACCGGTTCCTATAGGAACCATCAAAATAACAAAAGAATTGAAACGAATACTGTGATATTCATACTTAGCTCGCCCTAAAAAAACTATCTCACAAACACTTACACACGTAAAAATTTCCTTATAACTATTCAATTTACCTGCATAAAAATTCCCCTGTAAATAATTCACCTACATAAAAAATTATACACAATTTCGAACCGCTCGTATTCTTTCATAGATTTGGTGGCTCTTAAAAGAGCCGTTTTTTTCTTCTGTTTTTTCCCTTTTCTTCCCTAGAGCAACCCCAGCTCCCGCAGGACAATCGTTTCTTCTACCAACGCCTCAGGATGGTCGCGGTACCTCGCTAACATTTCGAATATGGCCACAGCTTCAAAATTTACGTCCATCATAACCCCATAGAGCTCGCGCAAATGCGCGAATGCGCTCGCGCAAAAGCTCCCTATTCCTTTCCTCCTCCTGCTCCCTGCGCCTTGCCCGATACCGTCTATGTCTCTCATTGTGCCTTTCACGTCTATCCATATCTGTCTTCTTTCCGCTCCTGCTTTCTTTCGCTCTTGCTTTCCCGCTCGTCGCCTCCGCTCTTCGCTTCTGCCCCAAAACGTCTCGTCACACACATATATGGATGCCGTCTTGGCGCCAAAAGTGCACAAAGCCCGCGCTGGCTTCCAAGATCAAGGTCACACTTACTAGGTCAGATCATAGGTGTTACGCGACAAAGGTCATGGAACGTTACGCTACGCTACAAGGTCATGGAACAAACGCTATGCTACATGGAACAAATGCGTTACGCGACAAATGTCTAAAAAGTATATATCTTAAACTTGTCAAAAAGCACGGCAAACAGTTGTATACTGTCTCTGATGATGGCTGGTTCAATATTTCACTTACTGGAAGTAATCTACGCTAAGAACGTAGCATGCGAGGTTCAAAAAATACGCAATGAACGCTGCTGTGGCTGTAAAGTATACGAACAGGATTGCCTAATGATGGATGAACACGAAACCTGGGGAATGCACGGGTTCAACGCTATAGAACAAGCTAACAACACGTCCTCCACATGGAACGAATTCATGGCCGCTATCAAAATTCTAAACGTAGAAAATCATAAAGACTTCACACAGCTCCTGATGTGCTTGCAAGAAGAACCGGATCAAAACTTTGTCTACACTTTACTACAAGTATATCAAGACAATCAACCATTAATACGTATTCTAAATGATTTATGGAATCCACAAACTGACCCCCTGGAATCCTATGCTCAATGTCATTTCAGCTCACCGCCAAGATACACCTATTATGTCAAAGGGACAAAGGAAACGTTCAAATCCCTCAAAACGGATCATAACAAAGCGTATCAGAAACATTTAGAAAATAAACTAAGAGAACAACTCAATAAATTGTAAAATCTTTGTTCTCAAAAAACATTAGTAGTTTTACAAAACATCCCTGTTAAAAAATCTTTTACAATTTTATAAATAAATAAATGTTTTTTACTAAAAGTGTCTTATGCACAATGTTCTTCGCTCCAATACATTAGGTAGTTCAAAATGGGTTCATAATCAGAAAAACTTCCTCTCAAATCCCCCCAAAAATCAAGTGTGACTTCACAATCTTTTATCAAGTTCGCATAATGTTCTTTCGCACGCTCGTAATATTCCAATTTCATCACTCGAATGGCTTCCAGAAACTGTTTCTTCACAATTCCACGCTCAATCACACGCTCCACTGCTTCCAAACCATGCAGTAACCATCCCTCCTCGTCTGACAACATAATACAGTTGTGTCTCCTCTGACTCGGATGATCGACTTCACAGCCTGGACATTTCTCCTTCAATAATCTCCGAATTTCACAAACAACCGCTTCGAAAAACACAGCATTCATCAAATCACAAACATTCTTCACTTCATAAGATACTTTATCCACAACCAAATCGTTTAGCACCTCCTGAGAAATATTCATTGCTGCAAACATATCATATAAACTCTCCATTTTAAAATAAATATAAAACTCCCGTTTTTATACGTCCTGCTGACGCCATCTGAAAATTCCAAAAGATCACGCGATAAATGTTATGTGACAATACTTGCTGACGCCATCTCAAAAGATCACACGACAAATGTTATGCGACAATGTTCCAAAAATGACGTCACTCTTATCCCTAAAAAATGCTGACGTCATATGGCGGGAAAATTTTGCCAGATGGGGGGTTTCATCTACTAAGATTATAAATATCAAACATATTTAACTGTTACAAAATTTCCAAAGTGGAATGCTTAGGTTCTCTCCGAGCAGTACATGCCAGTGGATTATAATCCACGTCCTTGGACTTTTCTTTAAACCAGAATATGCTTATTTAAGATCTCAAGGTCATGTTTCAATTGGATACCTAGAGGACTCCTTCTTAGAAGAAGATACTTACCAAAGTTGCAAAAATACCTACCAAAGTTGTGAAAATAATGTCACAACAACAGCCAATCTATTGGATAGCTTAGGCTTTTCTCCACATCAGGAAAAGTCTGTCACTACACCATCTCAAATCATTGAGCATCTGGGGTTTCTCTCAAATTCTATAGACATGACTGTTAGCATTACTAACAGGAAATTAGTAAAACTGCAGACCTTAGCGACCACAGTTACAAGTAGTGACCACCCAAACATAAGGGAGGTTTGCTTGTCTTATCAGGTTTATGGTGTCTTGTGCACCAGGAGTAGAATTTGCAAACTCTTCTACAAACCGTTAGAGAAGCCCTTAAAAATGAAAAAGGGAATTTGAGGCAGTGATGAAACTGTCAGATATAGCTCTTGGGGGATGATGTTCAGTGGTGGCTCATTAATGCCATATTGTCTAAACGACATACAAATCATAGACCTATTGCCTTGGAACTGGCAACAGTTGCTTCTAAACAAGGTTGGGGTGCCTCCTTAGGAGAGTCACTCACAGGGGGGGCGGTGGTCCCAATCAAAATCCATTCTCCAACTAAATGTACTAGAACTTAAGGCTGTACTCTTAGGTTTACAGTCTCTGTGCAAGCAAAGAGGAGAAAGACTGCCATATATTATCTGATATGATGTCTGTCTCTTATCCTAGGAAGATGGATGGCACTCAGATCCCCTCCATGTAATAACATTACCAGGAAAATTTGGATGTGGTGCATTGCAAAGGGTATATTACTCCCACCTGCTCACATCCCATGGGTAGACAATGCGGAGGCTGATCTGGCCCCCAGGGCATTTGACGATAAAACAGAGTGACAGCCACAATCTTGGCCATAAACCGTAGGATGACTATAAATTTTTATGCATTTTAAGGACTCCCCCTTTCCCCCCATTCAATGTTGCTGTTTCGTGTATATTTATGATCTGACCTACTGTACAACAAAATTGTACGTGTACTAGAAATGTGGGAGAGCAACATTGAATGGGGGAGCGGGGGGAGGTGCAAAATGATTTTAAAACCCAAGTATATTAACTCTTTCTCAACAGGCCCTATTCGCATCGATGCAGAGAGATCGACGGCTAGAAATTTCATACCTTCGGTTCAGTGCATGCTATGAAGACAGAAATACCACCATTCGATTCAGAAATAAAATATCAACTAGTTCCAAACGATAGTCATAGTCATTATTAGTATTGTAACGATTTATGGGCCTTTGAAAGTCAAAGCGAACATATTGTATCAAATTACGCAATTGTCTGAACAAAAATATAGACTAGCCATACCTTTCGCCGAAAATAACTTCAGCCCCATCGAACATATCGTCTTTGTAATAGTCTTGTTCGAATCCCCATTAAATAGTGTTTTTGGAGTGTTATTTGCAACCCTGAATCTACAAATCTGTATCTTTTATCAATATATTTCCATTTCTTGTCTGACTGTGAGCTCGAAGTGAATTAATCCCAACCGGAAATACGACTGAAAACCGTCAAAACAATGCGGCGTTTGTATCGTATGACCCTGGAAAGGCCAGAAATGAATTCGCAAGGTCAAATTGCACCTACACGTGTGAGTTTGACGTCATCCCGGCCAAAGGAGCTTCTTATTGGCCAATTATTGCGCAATGTACGCAAGTGCGAGTAAAACCAGACATCTTGAAAAATTCAAAATAAATATTTCTAGTCTGCGTATACATACGAAACTTTCTACACGAAAGCGCTTGAATACAGAGAGTATTTTACACGTATAGCCGTTCAGCAAATGATGAAAAGTTCAAGGGGTACTCAAGATCTTGTGGATATGAAATTTAGAATCTTTGGCCAAGCGGTGAGTAAATATATGATTGTTTCAGTTTGTGTAATGTTTTGATGGCACTTGACCCCCCGTTCGAAAGGTTATTTTATGAGGATTTCAATGGTGGCATTTCTTTAAAAGGGGGGTAAATACTCGCCGAGATATTTATATTAGAAAAATTGAATCGAAATGTAATGCGAAACCGACCTGTCGAGAAAGATATAAAGTTGTCAATTTGTTTTGCTGTTCTACCAACTTTTGGCCAAGATTGTCCGAAAATTATGTTTTTAATCCTTGACATATATATATATGTATTAAATTTAGAACAGTTGTAGAAATATTCAAAAATGTACTTATGTTCTGGTATTACTGGATAATGCTTCAAAAGTCATTCTGGTATTCCTAAATATTGAACGATAGGTAGATATTAATAAATATTGTATACTGTAATTTGATACCGGATTTCTGGGTAGGGCCATAATCTTCTCTTCAAATAGCATATATGTCAATTTTGAACCGGACAGTAATTGTTATAAACGCAGACTGATACAACGTGATTACAGATATATTTTAGTATAAATATTTTCAGTTAAAGCTACACACGCCAATTGACAAATATAATTTTTAATTAATCTTGCTGTGTAAGATCCAACATATCATAATTATAGATATGAGGAATATATCGCGTGCGCAACAACAAATCGTGTGTATAGCCACATACAGCAGAGCGGATACTCAGAAAATTCCCACAAAAAAGAGCTTTGCAGATGCCGTTGTAGAGGCATAGACGGCGTCAGGCTTTACAATTGAACATTGGGTCGTCCTTATGATGGCATTGATAAAACAATTGCAACTTTGCCAAAACGTGTCGACCTAATAATTAAGTCTGGTGCCGTATCGGACAAAATATTAATCTATATATATAAATGAACTCTAGTAGCTTAATAACTAACTGACAGTACTCGTGAACAGTACTCACAGTAATTGCTTAATTTTTCGTCGGATTGTAAATAAATACATAAAATATACACAACATTTTGTTCATTGCTACTGTCCTTACAATCTCATGACAAATGGCTAAAACAAATTGTAGATTTGAAACAATAACTGACAGTACTCATTAAAACCTCCAAACTTAATATGAGATATAGACATTGTCTTAACTCATGTTATGGCAAGTACTGTGATTGTCCTTTCCAAAGCCTGAATTTTCCCACGAAATACCAACAAACAGAATTGCGACACTTATGGCAACATTTAAAAACATTTTATTTCAGACAGTGAAATCATATATGTTCGCTTAGCTCTTGTTTCATTGAGTAGAGTCACTGAGTACTGAGTGTCACGGTACAGAAAGCCTGGCGGCCCGCACGTCTAACAATTACATATTGATTTGCAGCGTATTATTATATTGCAACAAGCTCTTGCAATTACTCTTTGCTATGTAAAATGAAGTTTAGAAAATTTCTCTTGTTTACATTACTTGTGCAAATTCATATATGTTCACTTAGCTCTTGTTTCATTGAGTAGAGTCACTGAGTACTGAGTGTCACGATACAAAAGCCTGGCGGCCCGCACATATAACAATTACATATTGATTTGTAGCGTATTATTATATCGCAATAAGTTCTTGCAATTACTCTTTGTTATGTAAAATGAAGTAGAAAATTTCTCTTGTTTACATTACTTGCACAAATAATTCTCAATTATCTAAACACATTGGCTTAATTTCAATCTAATATTGTATAGATTGCCTTCTTTTAAGAATAACTGGAAAATAAAATATATTTAAAAACAGATATTTCATAGGAGTATGGTCTTATTTATACCAAAGCGATTGAACTTTGATTGTACAACTTCTACCGAAGTAAGACCATGGTTGTCTTATATGTAACCTGAAAGCAAATATAACTTGAGCAGCATAGCAGAGCCACCTTAACTAAAGACGTATATAATATGCGCCAACACATATACCAATCATATTTGATATTTTTGTGCAGAATAAATTAGCGCAAGTGTCTTGCACAAGGTTAAATGCATTTTTCGTGGAAATGAACATGTAACAATTTTCAGATCTGATCTACTGTACAACAAAATTGTATGTGTACTAGAAATGTGGGAGACCAACATTGAATGGGGGGAGCGGGGGGAGGTGCAAAATGATTTTAAAACCCAAGTATATTAAAAAGTTGCGAATTTGTTTTGCCGTTCTACCAACTTTTGGCCAAGATTGTAGATCAATCCATGTTTACTCAACTTGTAGCTATTTTCAGCAAGCCTGACATCGACATGTTTGCCTCTTGGTTAAACTATCAACTTAAGCCATATGTCTCATGGGGACCTGTTCCTGAAGCAGTGGCAGCAGATGCTTTTACTTTGAACTGGGATAACAAGTTCATATATGTTTTCCCTCCATTTAGCAATCACTCCAAGCAGCCAATTGTAGCAAATGTGGTTGATTTCCTAACTGAACTGCTAGATTCAGGCGTTGGATATGGTGGACTCAACACAGCTCGGAGTGCCTTATCTATGTTTATTGTTCTGAAAGGAAATATATCTATAGGGTCACATCCCTTGGTTAAATGCTTACTGAAGGCAGCTTTTCCGATATGACTCTGGTTTCCAAGATATCAGTTTATGTGGGACACATTTATTGTACTTGCATACCTTAGAAGATATAGATTTAAAAACATTGACATTAAAATTAGTTGTGTTATGTGCATTGGTCACAGGACAGAGATGTCAGTCCATCCACCTGATGAATTTGAAACATATGTTTATAGGGCCAGAACTTTGCAAATTTGTCATTAACGATGTTGTTAAATGATTGGCTCCAGGCACAACTCACCAGAATTTGTCATTACGGTTTTTCCAGCCGAATCAAAGCTCTGTGTATACACCCATCTATGTGAATACATATCAAACCAACTAAAGTCCTTCGGGGAGAAGAGACATGCCTGTTTATAAGTTTTAATAGACACCCACTTGTGAAGTCTTATAATGATTGCTCGCTGGGTGAAAATGGTGATGTCAACAAGTGGGAGTAGACGGACGGTTGTCTACAAATAAAGCATTAGTGGCCAATGTGCCACTTGCATCTATCATGAAAGCAGGTAGCTGGAAGAGTGACTGTGTGTTTAGAACATTTATAACTAGAAATACATGTATGCAGAAACTCCTCGCCTTGCTTGCAAAACCATTATATTTTCCGAACATGAAGGATATAAAGTCGTTGTCATGGTAATAGGATAATTTTTTTAAGAACATTTTTAAAATTCAAAAATCCCGGCCTAAAATATCACTTTTAATTACAAAATTATTAATTTATTAAACATACATATGTTGGATATGTTACTGTACGTTATTTTATTATATGGATAAGGGTATTTTATTGGGAACTAAAACACTTATTAATCATATTATATCCGGCAGTTGAGTGGCATATTTTCTGTATGTCACGCTTAGGAGTGACATAACATTTCCCGCCTTTTTCATTGTTGTTGTTTTGAAAATACAAATGGTCTTTGGTTCCTATTTAAAATGAAATTAACATTGGAAATAAAACGAAAACATTTAAAAGACATCTTGAGATAAGTAAAATTTATTCTAGTCTTATGTTTGCACTATAATTTTAAAAAATATCGCTTTTAAACTGGTCTTTTCTCATGCTTATTTACATGTCGTCTTTGTGTGCATTTTTGTCACTCTGAGTAAGTCCATATAATAAACAGAACATTAAATGGTTGTGAGAAGATATGGATTTATGTTCTTGTGTTAAAAACAATATCTCACTTGTTCGCTGCGCTCACTCATGATATATTGTTTTTGCCACTCGAACATAAAATCTATATGTCTTCGTAACCGTCTAATATCCTGTATATGTGTACTATTTAAGCTTCAATTTAATGTAAAATTCATCCACAAGCGCTTCGCAAAACATTTTAAAATGTTCTTAAAACTAAACTACTTTTGTCGATAAACTTTGAGTTTGAAATAAAAACAATACATCAATATTTAAAACAAACTTACCTTCATTGGGTTTTACAATTTCCAGCAATCTATTGACTCATTCTTATAAAAAAATTAATTGTTCAGCTGCATGTCTCATTAGCGATATTTCGGGTTTCTGAAGAAAGTTTTTCAGTCGGGTAGCAAACGTCGCTGTCCATGCTAGCTTCTTTTAGCAAGTCTTTTCGGCTTTCTCCATGCACGTCTTCTTGCTTGTTTCCACCTGGCTCCTTCTTTAATATTTTATTTTTTAAATTTTCTCGAAAGAAATCGTATAAAAGACTCAAAAAACTTGATATATTTACATAAGTTATTTAATTTTCAAATAGTGTCTGTTATTATGCTGTCATGATGCAGTCATCATCAAGTGAATTTAAATTTGACCAATCAGTATTTGCCATTTCCATGACAGTCTGCCAGATTTTTGAGATCAGTGGGGAGGTCCACCCTTGAATCATAGCCATGCACCCACAATATTTGATGAACTTTATACTTCGCTAGTGCATTTCTTTCCCTGTTCCAGTTAGAATCACAATCAAACTTCAACTTCCAAGTAAGTCTTGTTTAATTTTCAATTTCGGCCATAATTGAAGGAGGGGAGGGGTAGCCGATTTTGATCAAATTCTGCTGATTTTTGAAAGGAAATACAATAAAAACTTTTTAGCCACAATAATAGTCTGTTTTGATCTTTTTAAATTAAGGTTCTTTTATACTCATGGCAAAAAAAACTCGCAAGGTCACTATGAGTGGTTGCATCTATTTTATGAAACTGTCAAGCATTGTGATTGGATGAAAGCTCTCACAGCAAGCATGTGAGTTCACTCCTATGATGAATGGAAAAGAGGCTTTATAAAATTACTTTACGGTACCAGAAATACCATACATACATGCAGCAATCCCTTGCCTTTATTTTCCAAACATTGATTTAACATGAAGTATTAGTAATTGGACCAAGGGAGCACGCCAGAAATATTTGTGTAAATTTATACCAACCTTAGTGACATGTAAATGTTTTCAATTTTCATCGGCCGCCATTTTGAATGTTGAAAGCGGTATATATTATTAGCTTATCGCAGGCGCAATAATTTATGTTCATCTTTGACATTAATTTATGTTATACAATGATACTCCGAAGGGTGACCGAGAAAGATCCGAAATTTAAAATAAGGCAGGAGGGGAACGAGAAAAAATAAAAAATAAAGAGGGGAGTGAAACGGCCGGATTATTATCCACTGATGCTGGTTGACTGTTACTAGGAACATTTGATGTTGCTAGGAACAAACCGGAAACAAAATGAGTTCCGCCAAAGAAATGTAAGTTGAGCTATAATTAGTTCAAGCAAGTCACAATAGAATATATTATTAAAATTGGGGACAATGGCGAGAGTTTGCATATCAGATAAACATCGGCTGTTGAGCTGTTCATGTTTTAACGTGCTTAAAATACGACCCATCATGATCATATGAGTTCATTGGCGAAGTAATTTTAAAAATAAACATTGTCTAAGCCGAGAAAATCGAAGCTGAGGTATATGTCCTCAACAGGGCAAGGGATCTTGTCTTAAAATACGACCCATCATATGACTATATGAGTTCATTGGCGAAATAATTTAAAAAATAAACATTGTCTAAGCCGAGAAAATTGAAGCTGAAGCATATGTCCTCAACAGGGATGGCATCTTGTCTTTTAATAATTTGTATTTTATTGTCTTTTATTATTAAAAGAAGAATTGAAATATTACAGGAATTTGTCTTTTATTGTATTTTATTCAGACTTTTTATAAACTGAGTGTATTTATTTTTGAAACTTTCTGCACCATCGATCACACATTTTACAACAACATATTTTTACGATTTTACTCTGCACATTTTGGATGATGGAAAATCCTCATAACCATATATATTATGCTTGTGATGTTACTCTGAATGTATATCAACACCGAGCCAACTTGAAAAATATGCCTTGGCCACAGTGGGAATCGAACCTACGACCTTTGATTCCCACCGTGGCCAGGCATATTTTTCAAGCTGGCTCTGTGTGGATCTACAACACTCAGAGTAACATCAAAAGCATAATATTCACCTGAGTACATTACACCAGTGGCGGCTGCCAGGCTGCAGAATTTGAGGGGGGCATTTGAAAAGCAAACTCATATTTTGATGGGGCCAGATATAATTTTTACAAAGGTACTGCTATTTGCCCATGCTGTTGTCATAGGACTTTTTCCCCCCCCCCCCCAGACAGGGGCAAATACCCTAGGAATATCACCCCCATTTAGGATATTCGCGCCCATATATGCGATGTGGTTTAATTATTCAAATAATTTCGTGATACTTTCATCTTACTGGTGCCTTACACGTTTCAGAATTTAACTCTGCAAAACTAAAGCTTTTCTTGTCTTTTTTGAAACGTAATATTGGAGTATTGGCAAGTTTTTCCACTCCAGAGATTTACAAACTAATATTGAAACAGTAAAAAAACAGTTTCATGTATACGCGCATTCACTAATGAGTAATGACAACTTATAAGCCATACATTTTCCGATAACAACAAAACGCTTGTGTGGCCTTTAGTCGCTCTCAGTGACTAATAATTTATTTGGGGGGGGGGC